CATCGCTGTTGCCCTGGGGTAAGGGAAATAAACACCTATTGTGTGCTTGAACTACAATCAACGTGCTCACGCTGAACTTGCCCATGAACTCCCAGCTGGGGGCATGAGACTTAGGGAAGGCAGACAGACCCGGGCTTGAGTCCCAGCTCTGCTCCTTCCAAACTGGGTGGCCTTGTGCAAACCGTGCAACCTCTCTGCGCCTCAACTTTCTTATTTGTAAAACAGGGTTTGACCTTAAAAAGCCAAGATGCCTCCCAGTTCTGAACTGCTATGTTCCAATATCCCAGAGCCAGTTTTCAGCCATCAGAATCCCACATTTATAGCATCTGGTTCTCTGGCTGCCTGTGGGGAATGCAAGCACTAACACAGTAAGTTGCAGTGGCTGATCTGTCTGTACCTGCCCTGCTACGCACACTCTATGGGGACAAGAAGGCCCATCATCCTCCCTCCTGGGTCCGAGCACCTCGCAGGGGGTCCCAGGCACAGGTGACATTCATTCACCCCACAAATGTTTACTAAGAACAGTTATGGGGCACCTTGCTATGTACTGAAGCTGGAATCTAGTTCGCGTCTGTCCAACCCAGAGCAGCTTCTTCGGAAGGAGCTGTTGCTCACTCTGACCCTAGGGAGGCCCCGGATGCTGGCCTCTGTGACATCAGAAGACGGTAAAGCACTTGAGCAGAGTGCAGGAGAGGACGGTACTGTAGGACATTTGCGGAGACGGTCTGTGGGGGCCACGCAGATATCAGTGCAGACTCAGGAGGCCGCACGCTGCCTGTTGAGACACTGGAGAGGGGGGCTGGGCCTTCCCCTATGGCCCTGTCACAGACTCATCTGGGATCTACTCATTTGTGACCTGACCCCAAACCTCCACTTAGACAGTCATCTGCTGAGCCTGTAATGCATGCCTCCAGGAGCAAGGGACATGCTCAATGAGTTAAGTTAAACCTGGGCCAGGGAACTTTCCTCAAGTTAATGAAATCTCAGAATTGTCTGCTGAAATCTGTGTCTGGGAAGTGGGCCGGAACTCGGTCATGGCCTGGACAAGAGCAGAAAGACAGGGTTCTCCTTCCTTGGACAGCCTCATGAAAGCTGCTCTGGCCAGGGCCTCACAGGCAAGAGAGGGGAGCGGTGGCTCTCCACTCAGGAAGACTCAGATGACCTGTGTTTATTTTTAGCTGTTTTTGTAGAGAACCTGAAAAAACTTTGGACCCTGGGCTTTTGTCCAAGGTGGGGTGAACAAGAAACAGTAAGAAAAGAATCAGACCCTCTCCTGAGAAGCCACCATGTGCCGATCAGGGGCTCCTGAAACTGTTAGAAGCTCATCACTTATAAACAGCTGAGGAGCTGGGCTGCCAGGCTCTAGCTCCTACCCTGACACTTGTCACTTACTCACTGTGTGACCCTGGACAAGTCCCCTCTGCTCTTTGAGCCTCGGTTTCCTCACTAATAAAATGGCAGGAGTGAGGGTAGACCCCGTGGTTTCCAAGAAATCGCAAAAGCCCTGGAGAATCACATTCTATCCTTATGTAAACCCTGGACTTGAGCAGGGAAGAGGGAGGAGAGCCCTGGAAACCCAGCCTTCAGGAAAATGCTTGATTGGCTCATGGGATTTCAGCATTCCCCTCAAAAGCACCATCTAGATCCAGCTGCAACCAACAACCACTGAGCACCTACTATGTGCTATGCTAGCTCATTACCTGCCTCTTTATAATGAGCCCATAAGAACACTCATCATTGCTACGTCACAGAGGGACAGGCTTGGGGACGCAGCCACCAAGGCTTGGGGTCTGCTCCTACTTGAGGGTCCCTAAGCATGTCACCTACTCTGTCCAGGGCTCAGGTCCTCGTCTGAAACAGAGAGAACGACTTCCCCTGTCTCCTAGGCTTGTTTCAAGTTTGGAATGGAGTGGGCCTGTGAGGCGCTCAATGACTATTACCTGTTACTATCACAAGTACTACTGTCATCATTACCATGGCTACTAGCGATGAGGAAAAGCAGGCTCAGGCAGAATGTGTGAAAGGACACCACTCAAAATATCACAATGTTCTAAAACTTGAGTCCAAGGACAGGCAAGATGGGACCTCTCATCCAATTCAGGCCAGGCTCCTCCATCTCTCAGCCTCTGGGTCTCCCCCTATGAACTAGAGGCAGTATGTCCCCAGGCTGTGGGATTTCATGTGCTAATGTGGGTGAAAATGCCTGGAAGAGTGCGCAGTGAGCAGACGGCTGTGGATGAATGTTCTCTCCCATGCTTTCCCATAAGTCTCTTTTGAAATCTCCAGGAATGCAGCCTGCTGGTCTTTCCTTGAAACCCAGTCCCTGCGTGAGAATTCACAACATACAGGCTCAACAGCCCAGCTGATGGCAAGTGGCCCTGTAGCGGGCCTCAGCTTCCTCTTGAGGGCCGAATGGAACCAAATTTTGCTGTGACCCATGTTCTGGGCCCAAGAGCTCAAGGCTACATGTGCACATGGACAACCCAAGTGCATGCACGCACTGACACCTTGTCCAATGGTCCTCGCCTCCACCACACACAACTGCTACCCAGCCAAGCCTGCTGGCCTTGGCACTGACTCCTTGGCACTGGTAATCGTGGTAGAAGCAGTGTCAACGATGCCCTTTACAGTTCACAAAGCACTCTCATACATTAACTGGGTAGGGTAGAGGCTGGGTTTTTAAAAAAGTGTTTTTAATGTTTATTTATTATTGAAGGAGAAAGAGAGTGTGTGAGCAGGGGAGGGGCAGAGAGAGAGGGGGGAGACACAAAATCCAGGCTCTGAGCTGTCAGCACAGAGCCCGATGCAGGGCTCAAACTCACGAGTTGTGAGATCATGACCTGAGCCAAAGTCGATGCCCAACCAACTAAGCCACCCAGGCACCCCTTATTCGCCTTTAGATATCCATTGACTAACGTTAGGTAGAGAGTAGATACCCAGAACCTACTTCTCAAATGAATAAACTTTATCATTATAAAAAGAATTTTAAGATCACCATTATTTAGCACTTACTATTAATTACACACTCTGCTAAGCATTATCCCTGCATCTCATCCTGGCAACCACCCCATGAGACAAGCCTAATCATTCAGATTACGAATCTCCATTTTGCAGAAGAGGAAACTGAGGCGCAGAGATGTTAAGTGATGTCAAGGTCACAACTAGTGAGTGACAGATCTCCGATGTGAATCCTGATCCCAGATTCTGGTTCTTCACCCCTTCAAGTCATTCTCCTCCTCGTTAGCCAGGCGAGACAGCAAAGAGGGGAGCGGAGCAGCGTGTATGTAGTCTAAAGAAGTACATCAATAATGCACTGATTTTTAGATTTGGAAAAACAGAAAAATCCTATTGTTTCCGTGATACAAACTAGAGAAAGCAAAGATCAGCAAAATCACCTTGGCCGACAGGACGGGAGTCTCTGTTCCCCTTTCTCTGGTGCGCCAGGCGAATTTATGATGACTTTCCAGTATGTCCTCAACTCCCTTGCCGCCCACAGCATGGGGGCTTGTTGGGAACTCTTTTCTGTTTGCCTAACTTCCCGTCTGCAGGTCCGCCCACCAGCCAACACCTACCAGCATGGGACATGAGGGACCCATCTTGTGTGAAAGGGCCCAGAGTTGTTCAGTTCCCATTCCCCTGGAGGTCTGAGCTCCAGCCCCTGACCCAGCCAATAGCTCAGAGTAAAGGTGATAAGCGAATGCCTACTGGAAACAGGCAGGCAAGGAGCGAGATGGTCAGGGTGACCAAGAATAAGAAAAGCTTTGTGTCCTTTTTTTCACAAGAAAAAACAGAATAGCACAAATGAGGAAACTGCTGGCACTGACGTTCAGCCAGAGAGGCCGGGCAACAGGGCATGGTGAGGACTGTGGCCAACCAGAGTATCCCTCAAAGGGCGTGGTTACTGCTCAGCTCAGCCAAACGCTGCTGTGGAGGCATGCGGGCCCAGCGCTGCCAAAGCTTTCAGCTCCCCAAAGGATGCCAGAATCGTGTTTCCTTTTTCAACATGAAATCTCCTGATTTTTAAATGGTAGCCACTAATTGTTTACTTTTATTTTATTTTATTTGAGAGAGAGAGAGCGTGCACACATGTGCATGCAAGTGTGCACACCAGCGGGGAAGGGCAGAGAGAGGGCGGGAGAGAGAATCCCAAGCAGGCTCTGCTGACAGCACGGAGCCCAATGTGAGGCTTGATCCCACAACCCTGGCATCATGGCCTGAGCTGAAATCAGAGCGGCTACTCAGCCAACTGAGTCACCCAGGTGTCTCTTTTTTTTTTTTTTTTTCTTAAGTAAAACCCATGGGTGGGCTGGACTTGTCCACGAGCTGCATGTAACACACACATATTGATCCTTCTGGCACAGATGGCTGTGCTCACTAGACATCCCCGTGCTCTCCTACATTTTGGGGGCTCCCCAGCAGGTAAGCTGCGGCTGCACCTCAGGCTCTAGCCAGGGGCCTGTGAGTGCGAGAGCTGTGCTCACTTCCCGGCCTGGGCCGTTGAGAGCTGGACGGCAGAGCGAGGTGATGAGATGGACGCAGCTGCCCTTCCCTCCACGGACTCTTGGCGGGTGAGGTCCTGGGGCCAGTGCAGGCAGCCAGTGTCCCCTGCCCTACCCAACGCCTGGAGCCCGTGTCTCCACAACAAAACCCACACGGCAGTACTTTAGCACTTGCACTTTTCAAAGCGCTTTATCTCCCCCTGCCATGTGGAGATCTCAGTCGGACAGGACAGGCTTTGTCAGTTCACAGACAGGCAAAGTGAGGCTCAAAAGGTAGAACTGAACGGTTCTGACGTGTGTGGCATGTGAGTGGTGCGATGGGACTCGAGCTCTGAGCGCCTGAGTGGACTCCCAGTCCAGTGCTCCTCCTACATTCCAACATAAGAGCTAACTTTTGCAGTGTAGCCCCAGGGGCACTCTCTGGGTCACCTGTGATCTTGCACAAGGATAGCTCATGCCCTCCCCTGCTGGTGGCTGGTTGCTTGAAGGTGCACCTCTTACCTTTCCTGTGGACTTGGTCCCCTTCCAGATGCAGAAGTAGCAGATGGTCCAGGCTGCCAGGAGACATAAGGCCAGCTCCCAGCGGAGGTTCCCAATGTGCTCGATCCCATCTGAGATGGCCAGCACCCGGCGCCTGTGGAGGGGAGAGGGGAGAGTCATGGGGGCTGGAGACCCACCCTGACCCCACCCGGGGCAAAGCTAGTGCTATAGAGAAGCAGGAATGGACCACCCACTCATTTGCCTGCCCTCCCCCGCCCCCACCATTTGCCAAGCATCTCCTCCGAGCCAAACCCAGGGCTGGGTACGGGACGCTGAGAGGAACAAGACCCAGCTGTCTGTCTTTTAGATTCACTCACTGGGAAAAGGCAGGCCAGTTAGCGGTGGTTTGTAGTAAGTGAAGCAAGGGCTAACATGCAGGAAGTAGAGGGGCTTTGGGAAGACCGAGAAGCATCTACCCGCCTAAAGATTGCCAGGAGACTGAAGGCCTGCCCATAAGCATGCCCGGCCCCATCTTCAGTGGGAGTAATTATACATCCCTGGCTTGCTGAACTAAACAGCGGCCATTGAACTCGCTTTGGCCAATGGCGCCCATGTCACCTGCAGAGCCAGGTGATGTGGTTCACCAGGTAGCTTCCCCTACTATCGCTGTCATAACAGAGTATGTGTCAAGATGGAGCCCTAGGAGCCTGACTTCCTGAGCGACTACATGAGCCCTTCTGCTACCCCCCCCCCATCAAAGATGTTGGGTGAGCAAGAAGGCAACTCTGTAGCCTTAAGCTACTGAGATCTTTGGAGGTATTTGTTATTGCAGCAAACCGCAACCAATCCCGACTGATACACAGGGTCAGGGAAAGCAGTCTGGAAGAAGTGATATCTGAGCTAAACCATGAAGGATGATGGAATTTAGCCAGGAGAGAAAGGGACTTAAAATTGTTTTAGATGGAGGGAATAGCACAAGCAAAGGCCAGAAAACAGAGTAGGGGATGCCTGGGGAATGCTAGCGCATAGGGATCAGAAGGCAACTGCAGAAAAGGTAAAGAAAGGAGGATCCCTGGGAGCCTTGAGTAGCATGCTGAGAGTCGGGGTGTCCCAGAGGGCCACAGGAGGGGAGGACCCCTGGCTACATGGAGCCAATGCCACAAGCCACAGTCTTCCTTCAGCACCCATCAATTATTCAGGGTTGACACAAGCCTGGCTCCCAGGCCCTATGCCTGGGGTTTGTGTTTCTTTAAAGTCAAACTCGCCACGCTCCATATTGTGCAGAACCATGGCACTAACACAAACCCCCTCCAAACTCACTCCACGAACCCCATGCTGGCTGCCAAACCACCCCCGTCGGACCAAGCCAGTTGCCTCAGCACACTGGGAACGTCCTTTGAGCAACCAGCTCCCATCCCACCAAGCATGAAAGCCTCCCTCAGTGTCTGTCTCCCTGGGAATCTGCTCGGGGCCTGATTCTGCATTAATTACTCAATGACACCAATTAGCCCTGGTCTACAGGCTCCCTCCAGCCCCAATCCCTGCTGGAGAAATCAGGAAGGCCCCCAAACAAAATCGGGCTGCGTGGCTGTGGATTTACTTGCAAGGAAACCAGCTTTCAGACCTATAGCTAGAAGTAGGAACATCCACTTAAACACACATTTATTGAGCACCTACTATGTACAAGGCACTATATGAATACTGTGGATAAAAAGGTAAGCATGTATGGCTTTTGCCCTCTACAAATATGAGTTGGACCAAAAAACCAAAAAAGTGTCAGTTCTTTAAGGAAGGAGACAGCCAATCATTGTAACAGCAGTTTTTTGTGTTGTTTTGTTTGTCTCTTATGCTTAGTCGTGTCTGGCTTTAATTCTTTTAAAATTTACAGGCCATTAAATGAAACCTTCAAGAGTATCTATTATCATAACAGAACAGTGGGCCTCGGAATGTGGTCCTTGTAGAGAGCTTGCTAAAAATTAAAAAAACCCCGCATATCGTCCCAGATCCACTGAGCCCAAATCTTTGCTGCACAATGCACCCCCCCGCCCACCTCCCCACCACAAAGCTGCGTTTTGCTGCATCCATCCAAGGATTGCTTATGCACGGTCAGGCTTGCGCACCACAGAAGCAGGGTTTCCTGGCAATGAAGGAGTAACTTACAAACCCCACCTGAATCGCATCTTTGAAGAGGACCTAGAGATGGTGTCTAATATCCTTTGAGAAGCTCCTGAAAAGCTGGACTTCCTTTCCCCCGAAAACGCTGTGATGCACCCACTCACTCTCAAAATTCTGCAGGGAACCTCAGAGTGCTCTGCAAGTAGCTTGTTTCTCGATTAAGAGTCTCATGGCTGACATATACCTCCCACCTTACCAACTGCCCCCAACAGCATCCTGAATGCCTGTCAGCTGGGCGTTCCTTCTCATTCAAGAAGAAATAAGCCTGCTCAGGAGAGGAAGTGGGCCAGTGCAGATGGTGTGCTTTTCCCAGTCCACTCCAGGCTCTGAATTTTTCATTAAAGAAGCGCTTACAAGAGGTCCCCAGCTAGCAGGGGTGCACATACACATATGCCTCCTTTTGATGTCGTTGTTTTCTGACCCGGGATTTGAAAGCTGGAAACGGCATGGGGACAGAGGGGCAGGAGAGAGGTGGAGCAGCCTGGAAGGAGCTGGCTCAGGTCCCCTGTCTTCCACATTTTGGATGCTGCAAACTTTTGAGTCATGCAGCTTGCTTCGGCGCCCTCTCACTTAATTGAACAATCTAATTCCCAGAATGGGAAGCAGATTACTAAGAGCTACGCAGGATGAATTGCTCTTTTGTTTCACCAGACACTATTTGAAAACATCCTCAAACTATTTTCTTTAGGTTTTACCAGAGCTGATTCTAACTTAGCCATGGACCTTGGGTTTCTAAAGATAGAAGGCTCGGGGGCCAGGTTCTCAGCCTGCAGGGCTGTGCGTTGTTTTGAAACCCACAAGGGCAGCCTTTGAGAGCCCAGGGGCTGGGACACTCAACTCCGGAGACTTGGAGAAGGCACAGCTCTTCCTGGGAAAAAGCTTTCTTAATGACCCTCCCCCATGAAGTGCTGGACAGGAGAAAGGTCTGAATAAGGAAGAGTTTGCTGCCAACACCCTGGCCAAAAAAAAAGCGACCAAGGAACAGACCTCCTGACACTGTCCAGGGAGTGGGAAATGTTGAAGACTAAACAGAACTTTTTGGAGGCATTTAGTCAAGTTATTCTGAACACCTACTATGAGCCAGGCATGGGAGCAGGTCCATCACGAGGTATCTTTCTCAGACCACCCGTGTAGAATATTTCTGGAGATTGCTACCCAGAGCTTGGCAGTGTGGTGCCTCTGCTTCTCCAGCCTTTGGCACCTGTGGAGATGGGCTGGGTTCAAACTGAGCACTGGTCCTTACCAGCTGTATGACCTTGGGGAAGGATCTGAGACTTCTTGTGGTCTCAGCTTCCCCATCTGTAAAATGGAAATGACAAAACTTCCCTTTGATAGGTTTCCAAGCATATCTAACCCTCCCAACAATCCTCGAGGTAAATATAATCACCATCACTTCGAAGATGGGGAACCTGAAGCGTAGAGAGGTTCCGTAACTCGCCCAAAGTCATACCAGGAGCAAGCAACAGAGCTGGGATTTGAACCCAGAGATCCTGGCTCCAGAACCCACACGTCCAGCCTCAATGCTAGCTCCGAGATTCATGCTGTTGTGAAACGCATGCCCCAAAGCTATCTTAGGTATCTCTGCATACGACATAAAGGCAGTACACGGCACATGTCCTTTATACATTTACTAATTTATTCAAGTCGCACTTATTAGGGTGTCATCAGTGTGCAGTGTTACACCCAGGGGTCCTTCAAGAGCTCGCGTTCTAACGGGGAAAGCAGACAAGGAAACAGAACTGGGCATGGGGAGGATCAGGACAGAAAAGCAGGGACCCTCACTGGGGATCTGGCCACCATCAGGCTGTGGAGAAGAGCGTGCGCCAGGGGGTCCTGGAGGGAAGGGGGCAGTTAGGAAAGAAGAACAGGGAGCACGTGGGGCAGAAAAGCCACGAGGTGCGAAAGGCTGGGACGAAGGCTCAGCAAGACTAGGGAGAGGCACGGCATGGGGTCAGGGCAGAAGCCAGGGTGGGAAGTGGGGTGGGGACACAGCTGGCCCCTGAGCCTTGCAGAGCAGCTGGAGCTTCCTCCTGAGGGCAACACAAGCCCGGAAGAGTCTTAACGAGGAGCGGGTGCCCATCGGATGCATGTTTTGGAAGCCTCTCTTTGGCTGCAGTGGGAGGAATGGACAGTAAAGGTGGAACGGGACAGGGCTGCCTTAGTTTGGACACTAAATGTGGAGAGTCTGGACCAAGGTAGGGGAATGGCCCTAGAGGGACACAGGTGGGCTTGAAAACAGCACAGGAACAAGGTGGCTGCCGGAGGTGGTGGGTGGCAGAGAAGAGGGGGTCTCAGCTGACGCCCAGCTTCATACCTGGGTGGGTGGCGGGCGGGCCAGTAGCTGAGCAAGAGTGAATTGTCAAGCAGGTCGGAGGAGGAAGAGGTGAAGAATCGATGTTTTAGACAAGATGATTTTGAGGTGCCTGTGGGACACCCAGGAAGCTGCAAAGCCCAGAGGCTACTGGGTCTCTGGGTGTGAAGCTCAGAAAACAGGTAGGAGGAGATTCAGACCTGAGCTATCAGGGTGCGCTGGGAGCACATGAGGCTGCCTGGGGAGAGCTGGAGGAGGGGGAGGAGGGGGAAGGGGAGGAGGGGGGGGGGAGGGGGGGGG